TTCAGAAGAGGTTTTTAGATATATTGGAGTCAAAGGTGAAAATATAGTATATTACAGGAAAGGGAAAGAAGCCTTCAGAGTTATCAATGTTTCGAACAAAGACAAATATTTTAATCACACACTGAAGTTTAAAAGTATATCAGTTTTAAAACTAGATTTTATCAAATCAATCATGAGAGAGTGCTTGTGGGTAACCATTAACCACAATTGAAAAGATATTTAAAACTTCTTTAATAGTGCATAAAAATAAATATGGTTGTAGTATTTTATTCACAGAGCCACAGGCTGCTGTTCTGTCCCCTGATGGTTCTTTTGTCTGCCTCCATATTGTTGCAGGATGTGGTTTTTCTCCTGTCATGTTTTGGTTTAGGTTGGTTGTTGGACTTCTTGTTATCCTAGTACTGGTCTGGCTACTTTATGATTCAAAGTTGAAGGGTAAGATGTGATATTTGAAACTTTGTCTTTAACTGACAATTGATTTTATATACTGTAGCTTTAACCTGTTTGGTTTTGTTTGTTTGTTTTAACAGAAGTATTTTGCTCCAGGTGTGTAGGACTCTTTCTCTTTTTCATATTAAAGTTTTTGCATCTTTTCAAATCAAACATGATTCCTTCATAACACAAAATGTAACTATTTCTTTATTCATTCCAGGTTTAAACACGATGCAGCAGTCGACAAGGACCTGAGTCAGCTGGATCTCCACTCCTCACCTCCACCGAGTCAGTTTTCTATTTTGTGATCAAATGATAAGAAAATACAAATCCACGTACCGTCAAACTTTCAGTGAAGTGTGTAACAGTTTGCTTTAATTACTGACAGGTGATGCTTTGGTGTATGAAAACTCAGGAGGATCTGCAGACGCTTAAGAAGGTACGAACTGCTGACACTCAAAACATTGTCAGAAATGAGGAAAGATACTATATATATATATATATATATATATATATATATATATATTTTTTTTTTTTTTTTCCAGATGAAAACATCCCATTTCAATAAGTTCCCATCAACGATCAAGACAATCGATTGAGAACAAGATGAACCCAGGCAATCCATCAGAAAAGTTTTATTTTTGTGTATCTGCTTTGTCTTCTCAAACCCCAGTCAGTTGTGGAAGACAGTCTCTCACACTGAGCCAGGTTCTGGTTCTGCTGGTGTTTTCTTCCTGTTAAACGGAGGTTTTTTCCTCTCCACTGTCGCTACATACATGCTTGCAATGAGGAAAATGAAACAACAGGGTGCAGCGATTGTCCACTCTCAATCACAATCTGCTGGGTTTCCTTAGATATAAAACATTTTAACAAATTTGAATAATAAACCAAACTTGACTTGATAACTAGGAACAAATAGAAATTATGTTTGGATCGGATTGTCTTGTTTTATGTTAAGTCCCGTGAAATGTTGAAATCTAAAAAAACTGAATTGAATTGAAAATGTAAACAGCAGTATCTCACATAATGAGTCACCGTTCAAAGGAAATGTTAGTTTATTTTTCCTTCATGTTGCTTTTAGTCACACGTTGGTGTTTTGTGGTTTTGAAATGAGAAGAACCGATTGTTTAGTCACTTTGCATATTTAATATCTTTCTCATCATCTTTATGATGAAGATTTGCATATTGCTGCATTAAATTATCGTTGGCACATTAATATGAAATAAAGGACTATTTTCTTCACCTCTGGTTTAAAGGTTTTTTTCTTTTCTTGTTGAGGACCCAAAAAAAAAAAAAAAAAAAAAAAACATTTGTAAAGATATAAGAAATCTGAAAAATATTTTTTAAAAACTTGACCTAATATTTCAGGTATATAATCTGAATTATGCTCAGAATGTCTCCGGATCCTGAAGTCATTGAATCTCACCTTCTATCCTTTTGGGTTTTTTGTTGTTTGAAGCTGTTCACCTGAACTTGTCCTTGCAAAACATGTTGAAATAGCTGTAAAACAATGGCAGACTTCTCATTTTCTTAATCAAATTAACCAAAATTGCAAACTTATGAAAAGGCGATGATGACCGGCACCTGATACACTTGGTGGGAAAAGCAACCAAGTGAAAGTGTAGTGGAGATTTAAGCTGCGTTTTTTAGTCAATTAGACATTTATTACCTATTAAAGTGAATGAGAACAAACTGCGTTGTTTGCAAAGTGAAACTACAGTCTGAAAGTGAAATGATATTAATAGAGTATGAAATGGGGACACGGATCAGTGAATTAACACAGAACTACTGAGTGACAAACAATAATATTATAATAACAATTAGAATAAAAACTTTGGATCTAGACATAGTATAAGAACTCAACTATTTCATTGTACAAATTAATTCTACTTTTTAGTTCATCATATACCTGTAATTGTTATCATAACAAATATTAGTTTTAAGTCAGCAGTACCAAGAGATTGGCAGCAGGTGTCACTGTTGCTCCCCTTTCCTGTAACCATCACCAACCTGTAAAACCACCAGCTGATGTCCAGATGGAGCATCTGTGGATAATCCTAACGATGTGAAACCATTTTCAATTACAAACAGAACCTTTTCCCCAAATCTTCATTATTAATGTCTGAGCTTTTTCTCTGATCATTAAACCAGAAGAGCTTCAGGTCCACCGAATGCTAAAAAGTTGTGGCTTTTATTTAGCAGCTTACAGTTCAACATCGCTCACTGCGGTTTTAACACATTCCTGTCAATCACATCGACACTTCTCTACAAGAGGAAGTGCAAAACGCTCGTCTGTGCTGACCAGGGGCCTTCTGGGGTTTCTTTTCTTCTTCACATTTCCTCTGATCTCTCTCTCTCTCTCTCTCTCTCTCTCTCTCTCTCTCTCGCTTGCTGTCACACTTTATTTTCATTGCTTATGTTAAACAGTCTTACGTACATATATATGTTTTCTCTTATGTCAGATAGATTTGTGAAGCGTTTGTTCCAAACTTGTTAAGATGTCTGATGTAAATGCCTCCATCCCGGCGGCAATAAGACCAGAAACGGTTTGAGGTGAATTTGTGACAATGGTCAACAAAGGTAAAATGGCTCCTCAGTCCTTTCACTTCTCCACCAAATTCAATTTTGGACCCAGTTGTCCGATTTTTAGACCAGTGATCAAACCAGTATGCTCATGTAATTAACTGTGTATCGATGCATTCATCTTGGATTATTGATTAAAATTAGTTTAAAAAAAGCAAGGTTTCCAAATCTCACTCATATGTTAATATCAATTGTATAATATTCTCTCTTAGCGTTTGTCAGTTCATATATGTTTCATTGAGGTTCTGAGTCTAGTTTTGTCCATTTGATTCTCATTAGATATCATTAAATGACCTCCACTCAACCCAGAATAACTACAATTGGAAATACATAAAGCAAAAAAAAAAAAAGAAAACTGGTTCAACTTTTTCTTCTTTTCTTAGTGTTGACTTTTGTTAGCAAGATTTTAAAGCATATTTTTACAGATTCATACTGGTATTGCTTCACAACACGTCTTCTTTACTTATTTGTTTTTGATCCTGTGATATTTGTGAAAGTTTTACATAGTCGTAGCCATCTCATTGTGTTTCAGAGTTTTGGGTCCTTCCTCTCCAAGAACTAAGTTTTTTTTTTTCTCATAAAACTTTAAAAGTTGCCAGGTTGAAACACATTCTGTCTTCAGTCCAGCTCTACAGAGACGTGTGGGCGTCATCTCTGCTTTGCAGCTTTACCTTTTTTTTTTTTTTGCAAAGCTTTGGGGAAGTGGGAGGCACTTGAACGAAACCGGTGGTATTCAGAGCGCTCGGCATTCTGGCGAAGTCAGAGCTACACTTCTGACCACATGATGGAGCTCTGTGGGTTTTCTTCCAGTTACACTGTCTGGTGGTCTGCAGGGGTGATACGCAAGAGCTTACACGAGGTGATATTTTAGTCCGATTGCGAAGCTAACAGCAGTGCTCAACATTCAGAGTGAAACTCACACATCTTGTGCTCTTCTACCTTGATGCACACACAACATCAACAACCCACCTAGGCATTTCAAATGTGTTTCTACGAGCTGTGAGATTTCTGGTCCGATATTGCAAATGGCTGCTGGGCTGCATTTGTCTGTCAGAAAAGTTATCTGATCTCAGTGAGTTGCGCAAACACAACGTTGCACAACATCTGCACAAGCTAAGATGTTGCTTAAATAGAAAAGATAACATATTTACAGTTCATTTAAGTGACATGATCTCGGCCTTTTAGCCCAACAGCAGCACAGCCCTCCTTTTTTTTGCTATTCATGTTTAATGTTTCTACGTCTCGTTAGGGCATGCGAGTGTCGATTCGCTTAAGAAATGAGATATTTCTGCAATGCTAACGTGAATTAGCCTCCTTAATAGCAGTTTTATTTCTGCTCCGATGGATGTCCTTTCTCTTCCCTCTTGGTTGTGTTTCTCGAATGACTCACTGGTTGGAATTGTTTTACTGGTATTGTGTCACTTCTTCTTTCAAAATGCCAGTAAATGTGTTTTGGTGTTTCAAGAAGGGACACCACAAAAACCTCTAGAGGAATCCTGCAAAGTTTTTAAAACACACTCTGAAGTTTATGTGCGTTTAATTGGAAAAGTAGTTAGAGTTTGTGGAAGACCGTTTTTTTTTTTGTTGTTGTTTGTTTGTTTCGAAATGTGTTAAGACATGTAGGAATGCAACCTGGATGCGCCAGAATGAAAAAGGTTGAAGGTCAAAAACGTTACCAAGTTTAATCTCTTTTTATTCGCCGGTACAAACATCCCTTATTTTTTCTCTAAACTGAACTGAACAAGTAAATGAAGCTTTGATATGTTAAGAGAAACTCCTTGAGCTGTTCTGATAGTTTAGTTTGTGGGGCTGTTGCTTCAAATAAAAATATAATCCCATCACAGTTTTATGAAAAGAAAGTTACAGAGGCCCGTCAGTCTTACACATAAAAATGCATGACTGTTCATCATAACATAAGTCTATTTATTTTAACAAACGCAACTAAGGAGTATATGACGCGCACAACCCAGAGACTCGCTGTTTTTGATTCCTTAATATGATCAAATTGCAACTGAAAGCAGAAATATGTAGCTCATGTCAACAAAAGAGAAGTCTGGGAGAAGCGATGTATAGAAAGCATTGGCTGAGAAGGGGAAGCTGCTGGAAGCCAGATCCCATTCCGCTGCCTTGATTTCCAAGAACGGACATTATTGTTTCCCACTTCTTTCAGTACCTTACAAAAAAAAAAAAAAAAAAAAATAAATCATCTTGTCATCCTGATGTTCATGTGCATTAAATTAAGGGTTTAAATGCACCCTCAAAGCAAAACTGATGTAGGCCAACATGAAAAATTGAACTTAGACATTTTAGCATTTTGGAATAGTTGAAAATTGAACAAACACTGGTTTACTTTTGCACATCCTCACATACTTCATTTGGTTTGATTTGAATTTTCATTATATTCAAAATTTCAAGCTTAGTTAAATGGTGCTAGGTCACAAGAAATGCATTGATCAGTCTATAAAACAGGTCCTGTTCATATTTATGTGTAAATACAAATCCATTAGATTCATTTCACAACAACTCAATCCAACATAAGTCAATTCAGCTTCAAATACGTTTCCAATCAGTTACATAACTCTTAAGCTACATGGTTCTGTTCATCTGATACAGGAAACCAACAGAATGTCCAGTTGTTTGATTGGATTGGGTTTTTCACTCTAGTTGTCTGTTTGCTTTCTGTTGTGAAGTCCGATTGAGATCGTTTCACTCAAAGATAATTTTTTGGGCTCACCTGATGGTCTTTGTGGTTCTGCAAATGTGGTCTAAAGACTTCTTGGCTGTTGATTGGTTCCTGCCCGACCAAACATCTGGTTATTTTAAAAACTAAAGAAACTCCAGAGCCCAGAGGCAGCATGATATCCTCTCCGTCTTCAAAAAAAAAAAAAAAAAAACAGAAAAAAAAATATTTTTGAAAAAACATATTTTTTTTAAACTGAAACATTTTTGTTTTTGTAAAAAAAAAACATTAAAGTGAAAAACAAAAAAAAAAAAACATGCTTAAGTTTTTGTTTTCTGCACGCCAAACTGGTTTGTTAATATTGGAAAGATTAAGGGTGGAGCAGCCTCTTTTTAATATTTCCTTCTTCTTTTTTTTGCTACAGTTAGTGGTTCATCCCAACTATTCTCATCTCGGTGTCAAACGTAGTTTCTACATAGCAACTGTAATCACCATGGTT